GTTGTGAGTTCAACAGAAGCCTGGCCTACAAAGTGAGCTCAAGGCTAGTTTGAACTGCATAGCAATACCCTATCTCAGAAAGACAAAATAAAAGTAAAAAATAAATAAAATAAAGAAATAATTAAAAAGCCCATGCCTGTGGAGGGTGATAGATTCAAGTTATCCTCAATAATTTGCATGAGATCTTTAATTAGACATTCTAATCTGACAGGGTGCTACTAGGTCACCTGTGAGTCTTATGAGTCAAATGCATGTGGAATTGGGAGAGATTTAAGGACAGATTTCCTTCTCTACTTGGTTTTTCCAGGATTAGCACCCTGACCCCTGGACCAGTTCAGTCTTTTAAAATTACTTCCAGCGTCAGAATGGCTCTGGGCTTTTCTCACACACCTGTGGCATCTTTTCATCTGTTCTTTTGCCCCAGTCATTTTCTGTGTTGCCCGACCAACTAGCTATCTGAAGTGAATTCTGGCTAGTTATCACTCAGAGTGTTGGTTACCAACATGCAGTGATCATCACTAACAGAGGGGAGGAGGCCGGCAGCTCGTGATGCGTCTGCGCCCAGGCTGCATTGTGAGGCCCACCCAGAGTGCGTGGCTGTGGTGGAGCCAGCCCAGGAGTCTGTGGTCTGGGGCTGGGAAAATTGAAGGTCAGAAGTTTTTAGAAGCTTACCGGTTTTGTGGCTAGGCAACCTGGTTTCAAATTTTAGACTGCTAGGCCCCACCCTAAGGGAATTGTCGGAGGGGCTGAGGTGGGGCCAGAATCTATGGACTGAATCAGGTACTGTATTCCAGGTACTCCGAATGCAGGTAGTTTTGGGACCTCACTGAGGCCCCCCCTGCACCCCCGGGAAGCCCTGCCTCTGCAAGTTGGCCTTCTGGAGTGTGGTGCTATGTGGTGGGTGGATTATAGCCCAACAGCACTTTATTAGCAGCGAATTGGAGGCCTCTTCCTAATCAAAAAGGAGAACTCCTTATGGATATTTCTGCTACCATTATTCTAGAAAGTAGACTTCTCTGTTATGAGCCTTTGGGAATATAGACTAAAAGGATCTTTTGGCTTCTGCCTTGTGCACTTAGCGTACTGGACCGGAAACAACCCAGACCACATTGCTTCAGGCCTTAGACTCCTAGAACTATAACTTAGCCTCCAGCTGAACGTAATTCCTACCCCACTGCACTGTCAGGCTGATTTGGGAGGAGGGGAAAGGGCAATCGAGCTGTGAGGCGTCACACCACTTCTCCTTGCTTGTGATTGACGGAGTGAAAGTCCAAACAGGGAAGAAATTGCAAAGCCCAATTTTCCATCCATCCTCTGGGCAATCATACATGAAGGAATTGAGAATTTAGGATCTAGCTGATGAGAACTACAAAGGGCCTTGTTTAATAGGTGTGCCTTTCAAGTTTGACTATGAACAACCATGAGAAAAGCCTTTTGTGTTACAATCCAGGGCACATACACATAAGGTAATTTAAATGATTCGTGAAATAGCAATTAACCTTTACTATGGCAACATGTCTTACCATGTGTAACAACACTAACAAAGAAACATGCTGATAGCTCTATGTAATTTCAAGATCCATTAATAGATCGTAGTGTATAATTTGGAAAGCATTGCATTAGGTTATGCTTAGTTTTGAACATACGGATTATGAAAAGCACTGGTCTTTAAATTACTGTGTAGAACTGTAATGTAGGAAGAGAACACCCCACGTAATGGAACATTTGATCCACGTTAACCAGGGAGTGGGGATATGTGTTCCCACTATGGAGTCTTTGCAGGACTTTCTGGGAAAAGAACAAAAAGGAGATGCTAACGGAGGGGATGTAGATGGTACTTATGAAAATAACTGAAGACCCCACTGAACTAAGAGGCCTTGTAAACCAGGAGTGAAGTGTATTTCTACTGCTGTACCTTAGATCCTGGGTTTGTGTTTCCTTGACTTTCAACTGACATTGACACTAGGTATTCGAATTGGATCTCTAATTTTTTCCAGTCTCAAGCTTAAGAAAGTGCCTGCAACTTTGTATGTTCTGGGACTGAGTTTCCATTTTTAATTGACTCTATTTTGAAGAAAGATTAATAAATCAAGTAAGAGATAATAACAGTGAGATTAATAAATCAAAATAAGTTAATGCCAAATCTCCAGTTAGTATTGATTCTTGGGGTGGGCTCTATTTCCTCAAAAGCAACAATTCTAGATCTCTATTTTTTCATGGCTGTTTCTAATTTGCTCTGGGAAAACATCCTTATTCATATTACAAAGCCAAGATGACACTTTAGGCGAATGTTGCTAATGGAGTTCAATAACACAATGCTTAAGAATTTGTCATTTTCCATGAAATGGACAGAGTTCATTTTTGGCTGTATAAAAAAAAATGAGCAAGAAAATTTAGATAAACCAATTAAGAGGAGCACTTTGTTAAGTTAGCTGATATTTTTTTTTAACTTTCTAGAGAGAAGTATTTCAGCAAATAGAAAGAGTGTCTGTAGGTGGCCTTTGTTTAGCTCACTACAAAAGCCATCATTTAAAAAGGAGGTTGTAGGGAGGCAGGTGGAGCTGTCACCAAATCATTTTGCAGGCTTATTGTACACCAAAGCTGGTAAAGAATTTTTTTTTTTTTTTTTTTTTTTGTGGAACCGGGGATTGTATTCATGTCTTGTAGCTTGCCAAGGAAGTGTTTATTCTACTGAGCCATCTCCCTGAAATTTTTGAACTATTTAATACAGCATAAGAGCTCTATTGTGGTTATGTTTATTTATGTAGATTTTTGTGTGTTTATCTTTGGTCACTTATTACAATGTACATTTCTCAAATCAGGGTTCAGATTGTTTTCAATTTAGGTCCTTTTAGAAGCAGTGGTACTCAAAGTGTGGATATCCAAATTGTAATCTGAGACCAAGCAGCAGAAATAGGGAGTAAGCTTTTAGTAACTTTAATAGAAATTTGACATTGTTATGACATTTTAGTGAAAGTATTTTTTCACAGTGGACTAAAACACAAACTAGTCAGTACTGAGCCTTGAAAGAGTCTAGCGCCGACTGTGCTCACTCAGTACTAGGGATGCACCGAGTGCTCACAAAGTTAGTTCAGGAATGGGACATATTGAGGGTAAATATTACAATTCAAGCATTTTTGAATCACAACTCTGAAGCAGTTCTGTGGTCAGCACTGCAGCAGTGTGTGTAGAAAAAAGAAGCAGTTATTTTTATTTGTAGAATAAGTAAGCAATTAAAAAGATTTCAGAGATGCGAAGGATTACTCCACACTGTGAATAAGACACAGTTTGTTACCACAATCTCAGAACAAAGATAAACCCGTATGCATGCATCACGGTTGGGAAGGTGGCTCGGTGTGACCATGGCTGGGAAGCTTCAAGGAGCTGGGACAAGCTGATGTGGGCCATCAGGGAAAGAGGAGTAGGAACTGAAGATGGAAAGTGCTTCAGGTTGGGTAGGGCAAGGCTGGTATGGCTGAGAACAGAACAAGGTCGCCTTCTTACACTAGAGGGACAGAAGGGTTCTGCTCCAGATTCCCCTCGGCACAGTGAAGCCTCAGAGATCATTCACAGTGAAGCCTCAGAGATCATTCAACATAGAACTATTTTTCTTATAGTTCAGAAGTTTTGTGGAAAGGAGCCATTTCTTTCACTTGGGCAAAAGAAAGTCCAAGAGCAATAGGGTAAGCTGGGGACCTGGGGTGGTTGCGACTACCTGGTGCAGAAGCGGTGCCCAGAGATATGTGGTAGAACCTCCTTTGAGCCAACAACAACCCACTCATCTTGGTGCCTGATGACGTTGTTGTAGTTTGGGTTTTCGCAAGGTGAACAATACAGTACAGAACACATTTTATAAGATTATTTTATAATGAATCACCCAAAGAATCCTTTACAAAGAGTGCAAGAAATCTGCCTATACACTGAAGAGTGAAGAATCCAGCTGAGGGCCTGGATCCCATGGCAGTGTCCTGCATGAGTCCAGCTGCAGGCCTGGAGTCCCTGCAGAGCTTCCCATGAGTCCAGCCGGAGGCCTAGAGCCCATGACAGCGCCTCCTGCAGGCCTCTTTTATGGATCTGTGCTGGGAAGGCCCCAAGGTCAGTCAGTGGTGGAAGCTAGAAAGTCTGCACCGGTGGCGGGATGAAGGGTCTGTGCTAGCAGGCTGAGGGATCTGCACTGCAGCCTGGAAGCGATGCTCAGAGTAAGCACCAGAGCTCCTGCCAAAAGTACTACAGCCAGCCTCAGTGGCAGTGAGATCTTGAGCCTCTCTGGTGATGGGGAAAGCCGAGTTCCCATCAGGAAAGCCAATGGGACAAGGTTCTCCAGGAGGCTGAGCAGTGCACCATCTTCCCCTCTGGAGCCAGGAAGCGATGCTCCAGGTGAGGGCCAGAGCTCTCCAAAAGTGAACCATAGTCATTCTCAGTGACAACAAAGTCCCAAGCTCTTCCTCCAAGGAGAACCAAGTTTACCAGGAAAGCCAGCCTGGCAGGTGCCCCAGCAGAATAGCCCAAGAGAACAAGCAGCTGCCCACAGCCCCTCCACGGCTTCTCCAGATAGCTTCCCTAACAGCCTCACCCAGCTCCCAACAGCCTCTGTCTCCTATGCTGCCAGCAACAATCCTCAGGTGGGCCTCCCACACCCAGCACCCCGCTGGTTCAGTTCATCTGGGTGTTACAAGTTGCCCACCAGTTGGCATCCTCCACAGTCCTCACACTGGGCTCATAGGGGTCCTTGTCACCCTAGGTGACGTCTGCTGAACAGTGGAGGCAGGAAGGAGAGTCATGTCTGGTCCTGAGTGTGTGTGCTCTCATGCCATGTAAAGCTTGACATTGTTTCCTGGAAGTCATGTTGTGAATAGTAGCGGGTTTCAGAGAGAATGGTGAAGATTGTTACTTTTTTTTTCTTGGTTTACCATACTCATCTTGAGATAATTCTATTTTCTTTCTGCTATTGCTATAGCAGACAAGTGGGTCTGATTTGGTTTGTTCCCCTCTCCCCAGGTGTGACGAAGGCACAGTCTCTCTACATGAAGACCAGGCTGACTGTTCTAGCCTCAGGTATGACTTGCCACTGCTTGGTTCTTGTTTGTGTTTATTTGTCGGAGACAGAAGCCATCTGGCCCTGAAGTTTCTTTTTCAAACTGCAAGATGCGTTTTCATGTCTCATCTCTTCTACTGTATTTTCATTTCTTGTGGGAAGTCTGTCTTGTCTACTTTTGGATACTATGTTTAGTACCTATGACAGTGACTATATATGCAGAACATTCAATAAATGCCTATTCAATTGAGCATTATTCCAATTATCTGTATTCCCAGAATACACCCTAAGGAGAAGATTCTAGATTACTCACAAACATGCTATTGAATGCCTGAAGTACTGACTATCAAGGAGTCCACAGAAGGGCAACAAAATCTTTGTAGCTAGCCATTTCCCTAACATTTATTTTGTTTGAAGCAATTCCACATACATTTTATTACTTAACCCAAATGACCGAAAAGAAGCAAATATTTTACCAGTCATTCTACAGACATTCTACAGACGGAGAAATGGAGGCTCTGAGGGATTACAGTGCATCCAGTGTAATGTGGCTGGGTGAGGCAAGACCAGAGTCCAGATATTGGCTAACAGTATTCTTAGGGGCCTTCTTTGCGTACCAGAAACCAGTTAAGACTTGGATAGAGAAAACCAAAACAGTCCCTGCACCCGGGAGTTCAATCTGCTAGAGAAGAGAGACGAGAACCCAGATGAAGATGTCAGAGGGCTTGCAGTGCTGTCATCCTCAAGGGAAACAAAGGTTCATCTTAAAGAACTAAGTAGCTCAGAGAAGCTTCTGGGATAGATGTCTGAAGAAAGCCACATGTGGCACAAGACTGTCTTTTCTGGGGGAAGCTCTTAGAGCCCACAAAAATATGCCATCAGACAGGCAGCAACTCACTGGCAGCCTGCCAGAAGGTAGAATAGCTTGAGCTGAAAGCCAGCAAGCAGTTCAGGCCACAGAAACCCTGAGAGCCAAGGTGGGTGAGGAGGCACGGAGTGGTAAGCAATGAAGCTCCAGAGAGAAACCAAGACCAGCCTTCACAGGGTTCCAGTGCCTTACTGAAGAGTTTGGAATTCATCCTGGAGGTATTGAGGAACATGAAAGGAACTCTCAGGTGTTTTTTTTCTTCTTTTTTACAACTAAACACTTAAGGCTCTGCCCGAGAGACAGTAGCCTTTGTTCACTGGGCTGCCACTGAGCCAGCTTTAATGCAGGAATTTCACCAATGCCACAGCATCTCTGCAAGGTAGGTGCCCCTTCACTGCATGGCTAAGCATCGTAGAAGTGGAATGATGTGGCCCAGGCTTTAGAACTCTTGCTTTTTCAGTCCATCCTGCTCATTCTCAGTTATAACTTATTCTAGCAGGTCGTGTGTAACCTACATAATTTGTGCTTTTCTGAATGAGTGATAATAAGGAACCAATGGAATGTTAGAATTGTAGTTCTAAAGATAGTTCCATATTTGGGTGCGCGAGAAAGGTGCTTTTTGGTCCATTTCCTTTTTCCTGTCTTCCAAGTCAAGGAGCTGAGCATGATCATACCCATAAATTATAATGACTTAGGAATATGATATAAACCAAGTTAGGACACTGTTGTGGATAAACTGATCAAAGGGGCCACTTCGCATGTGATGCGCAACTGTTGGCTCTCTCATTCTCGAGTGTTCAGGTGCCCTGCCCACATGAGGAGCCCTCGGTAGCTTTCCTTTCTCCTGTAGGAGCACAGACTGTAGTCACAGGAATACACAGCGGAAGAAATGCTTTTCAAGGAAGCGGGTGTAGTTTCCACTTCATGGTTCCATATTAATAAGAACAAAAGTTGTAATTGTAAGCAGTCTTTAGGGAAGAACAGCACCCAGTGTCACTAGCACTAATTCTTGTTACTAACACAGAAGTATTATTATTATTTTATTTGCTGGGTCCTCCTTTGCCAGGCAGCACTAATATTTTCCTGGGACTAAGTTTAACTGTTTAACATAACTTTAGTGCCATCCTTTGCCTATTACCCCATTCTTCAGACCATTTATTCTGATTTTTGCTTTAGTTGTTTTTTTTTAAAGGAGAGATTAATTGGAGCTCATCCTCCACTGATATCAGTCTAGTGAATTTATACTTTTTATTTATGCAAAGGAGTCTTTGAGTGGTGGACACAGAAATCCATCATTTGAGACTGGGGAGATAGCTCAGCAGCTTAAGTGCCTGCCTGGCAAGTGCAAAGTTTCAAGTTTGATCCCTGGTACTGAAAAAAAGAAAAGGAAGGAAGGAAGGAAGGAAGGAAGGAAGGAAGGAAGGAAGGAAGCAAGCAAGCAAGCAAGCAAGCAAGCAAGCAAGCAAGCTAGCTAGCTATCACTTGCCAGTCTTGTCTTTTGGCTTTCTATGTCCTTGAACCTTAAGGCAGTGCTTCCAGATGCCCCTGCTAAATCTCTTTTATAGGCGCATCTAGGTAGGCAGCATGAAGCTAGGACACCCGGGGTAGTGGCTAGTCCTGGTGCCCTGGGGGGTGTGCGAAGGATGGCCAGGGTTGATGAGACTGACTGCGCAAGCAAGGAAAGGCCTCATTGCTCCTGTTCTTAGTGTTTGCTTGATTCTCAGGAAACTGAAGCAAAAATGTGCCTAATTTAAGGGGGACGAATGGTTCCAAATAGAAGTGTTACTATGTCAGTATTTTTCCAAAGATAGAAACTGGAAGGGAGATATTGTAAGGTAATGCATTATTGTATTGCATTTGTGTTTTCAGTAAAACAAAAATGTGAAGGAAAATATATGTGATAATATCTTGAAGTGAAAAAGTTAAAATGATATCTGTATGGAGTAGTAGCCACAGAAATGTATCTACTCACAAAGATTGGAAAGGATATAAAATGATATAAAAATGAGATTCATATTTCTTAAATCTTTATAAAACTAAGTTTACACTAGAAGTTTTGCAAATATATATATATATATATATATATATGTTTAAATCCTGCCTACCCTAAAAATACAGCAGTAGTTCATATCTTAGGCCCCCTCTTTCCACACAGGTTTACTCCGTTTGTGGTGCTGTCTAAATTGAGTCTTTCCTCTTTCATCTAGAGATGAAAATAAAGAGAATTATCCAGACCCTGGAGCTCGCATAGCGGAGCACGCACCCTCCTCGTGCGAGGCGCAGCAGGTGGAGCAGACCCTGGGGGTGGACGGCGCACTGCGACCCAACATGGGCAATTTCAAGTCCCGGAAGCCCAAATCCATCTTCAGAGCTGACAGTGGGAGGAGCCACGGAGAGAGTCAGGTACAGCTCGGTGTCCGCGGGCCTCCGCCCAGGCGAGCTACCAGGCCGGTCCTCGTGGCTTGAGTGCATTGTTTTCCAGACGCATGCGCCGTGCTCCGGGACATGGGGATGCCCCTATCGGTTAGAAGTCAGAGGCCAGCTAATCCGTTAACGCCCTTTCAAAGTGGTGCCTATTCTTAAATACTAGACTTTGATTGACAGGAGCAGCATTGCTCTTTTGAAGAAAGCGAGAGAGGAGAAGCGTGTGACTGACCATCCTTCGTGCATCTTACTGTCAGTTTGCGGATTCCATAGAGCAAAGCCAGGACGCTCGGCCTGACGCGGAGCCAGTCCACAGCTGCAGTACGGTAGCCTCGAACACGTGTGCTTACCTGTGCATGCGGTAGCTGGCTCTCGGAGGTTAATGAGCGTAGAAATGAATCAATACACCATCTTTTCAACCAGATTTTGGTAATAAATGGACGTTTTATAAATTAGAAAAAAAATTTCCTAGTTGTTTACAAGTATAGCAAAAAATATGATTGTTTTAAAATCTAAAAGTCCCTGATATTATTTAGGAAGCTTTTTAAACAGATTAAATGAATATAATCTATTTTAATCCTACCAGGAAGGTAGTATTCCTAACATTGGGCTTCTATTCATAATGCGCCTAACATAGATTTTAGAACATGGATGCTTCATAAATATTAACTTTGCTTTTTGTTTTTTAACATTTAGATGTTAACTTTAAAACTAATGTGAGACTGGGCTCATCTCTAAGTGTACTAGGCTAACTGTGCAGAACCTTTTAAGCTGATTCCCGCTTAGCACATGTGCACAGCTAGACTTCCTGCTGCAATTACACAGCGGGGGCGGCTTATTTGACCTGGAAATTTTGCTGTGTATGTTGTGACTATCATTACCACTCTTCTTTGGCATTGTGTCAGGTGAAATTTTATAAGAATAATCAATAATGTGACATGCAAAACAAGATAATAAATTCATGCCCACCACCTTAAACAGAATGTCTTCAAAGGTAATGACAAAACCTGTTCTGAAAGACATCAAAGACTATTCTTTCTGATTTTATAAAATGTATTAATATAGTTTTTTTGGAGAAAACTTTTCTATATAACATAATGATTGTAAAAACTATATCAAGAATGTCAAGTACAGCTTACTTTGCACTGAAGTGTAAATTCTCTCTGCATTTATGAAGCTGTGTTGTGATTGTGTTAAACTGTACCTAAATCTTACTGTAGAGAAGTGATCATGAAACCCATCGGGTAATCATAAGTTTGAGACTCTGGTGCGGAATGCGGCCCAGTGTCGGTCGTCTAGGAGAGCTGGGCTGAGGACGCACAGCTTTTCAGTGGGCTGAGGTCTGACTCATCCTGGGGAGGGTGTGCCCTTGCATCTCCTGCCAGGGGCCACTTGTGTCGTGATGGGCCTCAGTCACCAGCTGTTTCTCCTCAACATGCTCTTCCTGTTACCCTGTAGCCTGGACTCAGAAATCACACAGTTGTCCCTTCTAATAATGCGGCAGTGGGCGTGCAGTACCCAGTCTGATGCTTTCGTACAGGAAGACTGGCACACAAAGAGAGATGTCTGTTTCACTTTGCTCATACTACCCCTCGAATAAGAGTAAAATTCTGAGCAGAATTTAAGTGGCCCATTTTATCAGAGGCAGTGAGCTTCATTCTCAAATACAACGTTGTAGGCAAGATATTGGTTGTATAATGGATTTTCTCATTTATAGCGTGGTTAAAAGGAAGGTAGGTTATTACTGAATATGTATGAATAATAACCTTACCACTAAAACAGTAAAGACGTTTGATGACTGAACTCGGGCTAGTGAGACTGAGATGACGTGCATATATTTCCCTTCCATTTACCTACACAGTATGCACTAAATGGTTGCATGTTACATTAGTTGAAATAAAAGGACTTTTATTTGTGGAAAATAGAATATTAAAACAATACACTAAATAATTATCTAGAAGAAAAATTTCCTCATAGGTCTATCCAGTCTGTGTATTAATTCTTTTTCTTTCTTTTTCTTTTTCTTTTCTTTTTTTTGGTGGACCTGGGGATTGAGCTCAGGCCCTTGCACTTGCCAGGCAAGCGTTTATTCTACTGAGCCATCTCCCTGGCCCTACGTGTGATTCATTCTTGTTCCTACTTAGTTTGGGTTAGCAATATCATGAAACCATCCACTTCTTCACCAAAGTTCTAAAAATCTTGACTTGGCCAACTGGTGCCATCAGATGACTGTATCCAAAAGTCTGTTCTTTAAAGTGTCAGTTATTTAAAGCATCTGTTTTTTCCACCATGATGCTTCTGAGATTTTTATTTGTATTTATTTATTTTAATGTATTTGGTACAGGGTCTCACTACACAGTTCAGACTCCTAGTGATCCTCCTGTTTTCAGCCTTCCCAGTGCTGAAAATAGTGTAATTTTAATAAAAAATTAAATTGGCCAGCTCAGCACATCTGAGGGCAGGACCATCTCAGCGTTTGGTATAGAGGATCAAACCCTGGTCCCCGTGCTTGCCTAGGCAGGCACTTGGTCTATCTGCTGGCCTGGAGAGTCTTCTTCATTAAAGACACAAACCCTGCGTGAAAGCTGAGTTAAATTTCAAGCAAGCCTTGCAGGAAAACAAAACTATTAGGTGACAGAAACTAAAGTGGCTGTGCTCATTTTACTCCTGATAAATTTAAAATGTGGAAGGTTGAGTGAACATTTATGAGAATAATGCATAATGTGACATGTAAAACAAGATAATAAAATCATGCCCCCTACATTAAATAGAATATCTTGAAGAGTAATGACAGCTTATTTTGAAAAGAGTCAAGGACTATTATTTCTGACTTTATAAACATGAATTAATAGTTTCTTGAGAAAAACTTTAATACATAGCATAATGATGCTAAAAGGCTATTTCAAGAATATTAATAAAATGATACTTTAAGTGTGGAGTAGGCCATAGACATTTTTATTATACTTCATAAGCAATCTGTCTTCCTTTTAACTAGGATGCAATGGATGAAACCTCTTAGGAAACCAACATTTTCCCTACAGAATTACACTGAAGTGTCACTTCTCACGTATTTCCTCCCAAGCCAGTGGCTGTGACAATGCTAACTTCAAATGGACAAGTCAACATTTTAAGTAATAATTACAATTATCACTGATAACATAAGTGTTGTCAAATATCAAAGTTCCACAAGGACCTGGACAAATAGAGAAGTTGATGGAACTGTTTCATAAAGGTTTTGATCAGAGAGTAAATGTTACATTGAGCAGATTTACTGTGCAGTATGGTAGAAAGGACAGTTCTGTCTATGAAGCTGGAGCCCAGAAAGGGGAACTGTAGTCACCAACCCACATGGTGCCTGATGCCACCACTGAGACTGTGAAGTCTGACAGGTTTGTTTGGAGATCATCGTTCCCCACGAGCACCCATGAATCTTCTTTGAAATGGGAGTGCACCGCTGCCTGTGTTGAGACAGTGCCCTTTCTGGGTCCTGTTTCCGCAGAGGTTATATGCAGAACTCCCGGTTGCTCATCACCAGGATCTTGATGGAGAGATACTGAGGGAAGAAGAAACTAAACAGTCACTCTTGAAAGTCTGGCTTAATGTCTTGCTTTCTGTTATAGTTTGTGTCTAGGTGTCCCCCCAGAGCCTCATGCTGTCATGTAGTTTGTGATTGATGATTGTGGGTGTGGATGCCGCACCTGCCCTGGGGCAGGTAGTTCGTATTACAATGTAAGGAGGGAAGAGAGGCCAGCTAGCTGCCTGGGCTGCTGCCTCTGCCTTTGCTCTTTTGCTCTTTGCCGCTGCCATGAACAGTTGCTCTTGGCCATGTGCCGCTCTGCCTTGGATCCAGCTGAGTATGGACTGCAACCTCCGCTGACTGTGACCTAAAGGAACCTTTTCTTCCTTCATTTTGAGTATCAGGTATTTGTCCCAGCAGTGAGAGAAGAGTAACTGAGACACCTCCCTTACCCTTCTTATCAACTACAAATTCAGAATTACCAGTTTCAGTCTGCTGGGTCACTTTTTTTTTTTTTTTTTTTTTTTTTTTTTTGCATATCCGGGGATTGAACTCAGGTCCTTGTGCTTGCCAGGGAAGTGCTTATTCCACTGAGCCATCTCCCCTGTCTCCGCTGGGTCACATTTGATCAACTCTTTTTTAATCTTAGCCTTGACATTCTACAAGAAGGAACCAGGAATAGCAGGAGAATCTGAGGTTTATGGACTGATTTGAATAACTAATTCTTATTTTGAGCCCACCCTGATTTAAAAGAAGGTGCGTTGGTTGTGTTTACTGACTTAACAAATGACCAGGAACCATGAAGACAGTGCAAGAATATCCTCAAAGAAGATAAAGCATTGGAATAAAGGGATGTCTATTTGAAGCAGAGCATTTTTCTTTTCTGCTGGTTTAGCCCTTTCTTCGTTAGACTATGGGCTTTGGAAAAGAATGGCTTAGATAATGACCTGTCTCCTGAGAGCCGAGGTTTGAGGAAAGCTGTTACTAGAGCTATTGCTGATATGTAGAAATTTAAGCAAGATGTGCAAATTCTTATTAAGCACAAACTCCTGATCCATTTGGAATCCAGTGGAAGTTGGCCTTTTTTGGACTAGGTAATTATAAAGAAAGTAGTCTTTCTAAGGAGAACTGATTTAAGGCATGGATTGTATCTTGCAGTATTTTTGTTGCAGCAAACAGATCAAATATGAGAAGAAGCACTGAGAAGGTTTAGGGGGCAGTTTATTATGCAGTTGGGGTTCTGACTAGGATTTCTACAGGAGTCAGAACCCCACTATCGAGAGCCTTTTTTAGGTCTCATCTCAGTCCAGAAAGTTTATATTTATAAGCATATGGATAAGTTATTGGAATCCCATCAAATTAATTCTAATCTACCACTCCAATGCACCCCATGGCAAGAATAAAGATGCTAAAGCATATTTATATTTATGGGGAGCCAAAGGGCCCTAAGTCCATCCACAAA